ACCTAAAAGCAAAAACTTCAAAGTTATTTGTCACATCACTTTTGAAGGGTATTTATGTCATATTTACCTGTTACCATGAAAATCAGGAAGCACGTGTAGATCAGATGTTAAAGCAGCAATAAATGGAGCGCCAGTGTCACGCATCAATTGTGCTAGTAAATCGTTCAACATTTGAAAAAGAGAAATATCTGGAAGATTTACATAATTTTAAAAACAATTAAAAAATACAGTGGGTCCCACAATGTCACTAATTAATTGATTCTTACTTTGGGAAGCAGCACGATTTGCAAGATGTGAAGATGCAACGTGATTATCGACTATATAATCCAATAGTGCACCCGTTGCACTTTGACCTCCTTCAGTCAACCAATACTCAGGAACCATAGCTACATGTATCCAAAACGTTTTCTTTTTACCATGAGTTTAGTAAATTGTTTAAGTGAGGGTAAAAAAAAATTACCTGACCAAAATGGGCCCCACACACCGGGAATAAACAATTTGGTCTTTGAGACAGCCATGTGGCATGTGGAAGTTCCACATACCAAAACCATACGCCGGCATATACCATCATCATCATATTCTGACATATCATATTCTTTCTAATCAGGACTACATAAAAACATATTTAAAAAACACAATGCACTTATATTTTTTTACCCATAATAGCAATGTATACTTATAAGAAATGTGAGTACATTGTTGTTTATGTAGAAGGAAATGCAAGTATGATGCTAAAAAAGATTATTTAATTTTCAAATTAAAAAATACATCCTACTAACTATAAATACCACCCATTTTTTATACATTTCACTACAAAAAAGCACAAGTTCTTTCAATTTTCTTATTTTTGCTTCAACCTATGGATCCAAATCAAAATGCCCCACCCACTCCAAACACTCCAAATGATCTATATGTACATCTTAATTACATGCAATTGTTAACATCCCCAATCCAACAACAACTTCTATTCACCAATCTTCCATACCATCCAAACTACTACCAATAACAACGACCACAACAATTCAACAACCCCAATTTCAAGCCTTTCAACAACAACCTTCTCAATAATCTCAACTTCAACAATTTCAAACACAACCTTTACAACCATCTTTATCTCAATCCTAACCTATAAACCTCAACAATGACGACGACGAAAGGGTCCAAGAAACACAACCACCATCTAGAAGAAGGCAACAAAAAGGAAAAACTCAAAATAAAAATAATATAAAAATAAAAATAAATAAATAAGCACTAGGGCGAAGACGAGGAGCAAGCTTTAGTGAAAGCTTGGACTTTCATATTGCAAGACGGTGAAATCGGCAACATGCAATCAGATCAAAGTTTTTGGAATCCTGTTTTAGACCACTTTCATGCGCTCTTAGGAAGGGAAACAGAACGGACGTGCGACTCGGTCAATGCAAAATGGCGTGATCTACGGGCGGCTTGCACGAAATTTAATGGCATGTTTGACAATCTTAAAAATATTCAAAAAAATGGTAGCAACGATTTCGATATTTTATCAACCGCATTATATCAATACAAAGTTACCAACAATGGTAAATCAATCAGCAACCAAAAAGCATGGGAAGTTTGTCGTAACAGTCCAAAATTCTACATCCGGATGCGGCGTATTCGGGATCTACCACCGACTCCAACAAAAGGCCAAGAACTTCCGAATCAGACAGACAAAAACAGACAAAACTTTAAGTTTTCTATATATATATATATATATATATATATATATATATATATATATATATATATATATATATATATATGAAGCAACGGAAGAAGCTCGTCGCCAAAAAATAACGCTTACCGATCTTCAAATTATAAACACAAAGCCCCAACGGAATCTTGATCAGGAAAATCTAGCGACGTTTCTAAAAATTTAACAAGTCTGCGAAAAATATGGAAATTAGGCTCTAAGGTTTTTAGTATTTATGTTTTATTTTCTATGTTTTTTTAGTTATTTAGGTTTTAAATTTTTATGTTTTTATGTTTTTTTAGTAATTTAGGTTTTAAATTTAAGTTATGTAATAGGGTTTTAAGTGATGTAAAATATTTATTTATGTTTATTATTTAATCTAATGTCAAAAAAAAAGATAAATATTGTGGAGTGTTAACCATTTCCAATGGCTAGTGGTTTGGTAGTGAACATATGGTGGAGATGACATGGCGCATAGGTGGCATCACTTTTCTAGTGGGTTGGTTGTGACCATACCTTGTAGCCTTAAGGGTAAAGAAATGTCAGCATGCCACATCATCAAAACTAACACATCATCATGCCACGTCAGCAGGCAACCAGGTTGATCGGTCAAGTGATCAGAATTGTAATAAATTGGAAATCACAGTGTCCAATTTGAGACAAAATAATAATAATAACGCAGTGTCAAAATCGAATTTTCGTGTAAACTTAATGACTTTTGTGGAATTTACCCTAAAAAATATATGGTAAAATGAATAAGTTGTGACCTTTAGGTTCAGATTCAGGCACACTTTCCATCACTCCAACGCCACCAGCATGAGCATCAATCAATGAAGTTCCTACTGGAATCCCACTCACAAGCCCCAATTCCTGAAAAATTAAGAATAATTTATAAAGCCAGATTGTAAAATAGAAAAGCATCCATATTCCATATCATCATTCAATCATTCATTTTCCTTCAAAATAATTTGTTTGATTGATTAATTAATTAATTAATTAAAACCTCAATGTAAATTGGAACGCGAGTTCAAATGAATGTGAATTCTTCATTACAAAATATCTTGCCTTGGCAGCATCAGGTGTTAGACCACAGCCCAGAGCATGACCAGGGAAAGCTACACTTCTTCCTGTTTGTTCATCAGAAGTAAAAATACGTAAATGCCCTTGTCATCCTCATCATAAACATAATAAATAGAAATGTACCTATTTTGGAATGATGTCCTTCAACAAGGTCAGGTAACCCAATCTCTTCCCAAAAATCATCATCCCATCCACATGCTTCCATTTCCATGTCTCTAGAGCTTTTTTCATCAATGTGTTGCATGTGTGCATGGCCTAAATATGTCCATTTGCATACTGTTGTGCACATGCTACGAGTATCATCTCCTGTTGCTCTAGAGAAATTACAGTGAATCAGAAAGAAAAGTAAAGGAGGGTAAATTTGGAATATCAAAAAAAAGATCTATTGTTTACCTGTATGACAACCAATCACTCAAATCCATCCACCTCCATGTCATTGACCAAGATTCTTGCAAATTCTCTTTCACCCACAACAGCTACAATTACAGAAACAAAATCCATTAGTAATTAGGGTTTTGGGGATTTGGGGATTTGGGGTTTAGGGTTAGGTAAATACCTTAGGTGGTTGCATCTCAGGAGAAATAGAACCACCACAATACTGTAACACAGGTGAATTTAAGGAATTTATTTTTTCAGCTTGTTTTACAGCTCTATGATCCATCCATACTATTACATTTCTTCGTGTATCACCACTCAAAGAAACTGAAACAGGTTGACCTTCAGAATCCACAGCAACTGCATAATTGATAATCAATAATCATAATCAATCCAGAGATTAAAAACTTAATGAGAAGAAGAAAAAAAATGGGTTATAGTGTGAACTAACCAAGAGAACATGTAGCTGCAAAGCCTAATCCAATTACTTCTTCACCAGCCACATCAGCAAGGGCTAAAGCTCTCTTGACAGCAGTGCAGATTGCAAGCCAAATATCAGTTGAAGATTGCTGAAATTGCACAGTTTCCAAAAAAGAATAAATGGCATGTAGGAATGAAACTTTCCTTTTTTGTTTGACAAAGGGGAATCATTTCTTTATCTGTTTTTTTATTAGAATCTTGTTTTTTTAACATCATGATATATTCACCTCAACACAGTCGCCTTCTTTCCAAATTTGTATAGGGCTGCTAGCAGAACCCAGAAGCTTCCCACCTTTATCAAAAAGTCCTGAAATATGTAACCAAGGTATGCATCTCTTAATCAAAAGAAGGGGCATTTTAGACATTTGGTCAATAGTCAAACTTTCCTATTTAGCTATGTGCCAAGTCAAACATTGCTTTGTATTCAGGATTAACAGATTGCACAATGATATCTTCAAAATAGAACAAAAGCTTATGACTAGGGTAACTCCAAAATAAGCTCAATAGAAGTAAAACTAAACCAATCAATTTTTAGGGCTTTAGATGCAAAAATGAAGTCTATTAATATATTCTTCTACAACTGTGTATAACTAAATAAGAACTAGATGTTAATTTACAATCAAACATATTACTTCAACTGATACTGAAATTAGTCATAAATTCAACACCACCAGTCTCTATTAACAGCAGTTGCTACAAAATTCTATGTTAACCATGAAATTTCCTGCAAAATCCTTCCAATTCGTATCAATTTTGGCCTCAAAACTTACCTTCGTTGACTTTAAAAACGCTACGTAAATTTCCTTCCAAATTTAACACGAAAAGTGAAACGTTCATAAACAGTAAACCACCAGTGTACCAGAGTATATCCGATACAATTACTAGTCTACAATAGTATACTCAAAAGAAGCGTAAGAGATAGAGAATGGTGGACACCTGCGCGAGCGCTACCGGTGCCTACGTCGACACCGAGAAACACGGAACGACTGGGACGATTAGGTGCGGCGGCGGCAATGGCGACGGCGGTGGCGGTGGCCGTGGCGGTGGTCATCTTGAAAGAAGCTGAAATGAAACGGTCTGAGGCGGAGAGAAACGGTGGTAGTTTTATCCTTTTTGAACATTTTTTAATTAATTAATTTCTTTCAATCTAATCTTCTACTAATTGCAATAAATCACTTAACTTCGATTTTAGTACAAGAATGGCCCCTATACTAATCATCAACTTTCCTTTTTGTCCCCTAACCAAAAAAAAAAAATACACTTGTACGTTTTACTTATTATTGCAAACATCGTTTTTAGTAATAAAATTTCTTTCTTCTAAGACTAGGTTTATCGGAAAATCCATATGATCACAAAAATAACCAATTCTCAAAAATACAAATAAAATACATATTGTTTGCAAATATTCAGTTCTCATATTTCAGAGTCATTTTCAATTTTCTCATGTCTGAACCCATTAAGTCTTGTGTAAAGTGTCTCCAACATTTGCAAACAAACATGAGGAGAAGTACATGGCCCACACATCATGTATATCACATTTCCCAAAGGCCGCATGTAAATACCATCTTCCCTAAGTTTTAGTAAAAGAGACGTTGTACATACTGAAGCATACCTACATAAATCAAGTCAAATCAAAACAAAAGAAAATGACATAAATACCCTTCAAAAATCATGTGATAGGTAATGATACATAGTTACATACCCAGCCTCAGAGTCTTCTACTTGAAGCTCTACAGCAAACAGAGTTCCTAATGAAACCACTCTTTCTACTATTGGATGAAATGAGATCTTTTGAACTAGCTCTGTATCCCATAACTGAAACGCCAATAAAATAGCAATTTTTTATATTTTGTAAAAAAAAAATGTTTCTAATTCTAATTTCTAAGTACCTCTGTTAATAGATTTTGTTCAGGAATCAAATTAGGGTTTGTTTGTGAATCCTTGAACCATTTAATGGAATTACAAGCTGCTGCACACCCTAAAGCATGTGCTGAATATGAGTGTCCATGTAGAAGAGCCTTTAGCTGACATAAGAAAAAAATAAATTTAAGAATATTTCAAAAACATAAATATGTGGAAAATTAAAACATTGTTTTTATTTTTTCCACATTAAGAAAAAAAGAAACAATAAGATCATTATTTACCTTTGAGTCTCCAACAAATGATTCAAAAACATCATTTGTAGCCAATGTAACAGCCAATGGGATAATGCCACCTGTCATTAACTTTGCGTAACAGGCTATATCTGGCTGACAGAAAAGTAACTCTGCTGCAGACTGAAATGAAAAAAAATAAAATAAACAAGGGCAAATCGGTAAAAAGCAAACTGTTTTTCCATTAAGTCAAAAAATACAAGATTAAGGTATTGTATGTTTCTCTTTTCTCTATATAAACAGAGACTGGTTGTGTTATTGACTAAAAGAACTGTTTGAATGTGAGTAAAATGACCATTTTACCCTTCTTTCTAGAATAAAACCTAACATACCTCCACCCCTAAGCGCCAAAAACCAGTAAAAACTTCATCAAAAATCACTGGAATTTTACGATTTTGACATTCTTTAACAAGTAAGCGCTGAAACAGTGGATCCACCATTAGCATGCCACCTGCCCCTTGTATCACTATCAAAATACAAAATATTTTTAAAAAAAAAAATTATTCAACTTTTTTTTTTGGCAAAAATGTCACTTCTAATAGTTTTGTAGTCACAGTTTTACCTGGTTCTATGATTAATGCTCCTGCATGAGATAATTTTTTTGATCTTGAATTTAACTTTAATTCTTGTGAAATATATGATGAATAAACTTCAGCAAGACTTGAATCATCTCTACTTTTATTAAAAACTTCAATACGTGACTTAAAAGCTGTTGAAAAAGACAGGATTTGTTAATAAAGTGAAAAAGACAAAAATACCCTCATCCTCATAAGTCAAAATATATGTTTTGCTTACATGTATCTTCCAATATCACATCATCAGCTTTCATATTTCCAGGAATGGATATTTTCCAAACTCCATCACACATAGAAACCAATGGAGGATCAAGAAAAAACCCTCTTCCAGTATACCTGAAAGTATTAAATTTTAAAAAAAAAAAAAAATTATAAAAGTTTAAAGAAAATGTAAAAAGCTAACCATGGTTGCTGGAGAAAACCAGTATAAGGTGATGGAGCTTGTGCTTCCATAGCACCTAATGTGTCTCCATGATATGATCCTTTAAGTGCTACAACCTGAAAGGAATAAATATAAATTTTCTTTTAAAGAAATTGACTTAAAATAGTATATAATATTTAAGATAAAAGATTCAATAATGTACATACCTTAAGCTCAATACTGTTTTCAACAGTATCCAAAAGCAACTCATTATCAACCAAGAATTTCCTAAATGCCATTTTCAGAGCAATTTCAATTGCTGTAGATCCATTATCTGAAAAATATGCTCGAGAAGCCCATCCTACATTTTATGATGAATATGAATATTCAAATTCATTTTATTATTAATAATAAATAAAAGAAAAATAGAAAACTAACCTTTTCCTACACCTTGAAGCAAAAGTTCAGCACATTCAAGAACTGGCTCATAAACATTCTCAGGAAACATTACATGCCCAAACCTTGCAGCAGTATACCCCATATCCCTTGCAAGCTTAATCTGAACCCACCTAAACAAGTATAAGTCAAAATTACAGAATTGCCCTTCAACCAACAAAATATAAATTACTACAAAAGCATAGAATGACCTGTAAAGCAGCATTAGGGCCCTGTGTCCACCAACTTGCACAAGCATCAAACATTTGAGTAATGCATCCATCATCCTTCACCTGTATACGAATCATAGCTCAAATCAGATAAAGTGATAAACTTTATAAACAAAAAAGAAATAAAACGAATAGTTTTTATGTTGAAAAGAATGATGAAAAGAAAGAGAAAGATAACCTTGTGAACTGAAAAGTTTTCTCCACAACGAGAATCAATGACTGTGACTTTTTCTTCTGATACAAGCTTATGTTGAGTGAAAGGCCACCAAAAGATTTCTTGAGCCTTTTTTGGCATTTCATGTAGTCTATCTGTTCTTTTTTGATGTGATGACATCATTATCACATTCAATGAGTCAAAAACACTTTTTGATTCAACAAACCACTCCATCAAGTTGTCTGAGGGATCTTTTGGGATAGATGGAAGAACAAGAACTGGTACCCTTACAAATTCAGAGACAAAAGAATATATATTTAAGTTTTCTAATCACTACAAGTTATGTTTTCCTACATTGAGAAAGATAAAGAATGGTTGAAACTTGAAAGTATGTTCACCTGTTTCTCAGGTAAGACAACAATGGCACTTCATTTTTGAGGCCATGATCTTCCAGAACAATAGCAGCTACATCATAACCTCGTATTGTAAGACTCTCGTAGGCTGAAATTGTTCCTGAAATACCCCCTAATCTTCCATCTCCCACTAGAATTGAAGGTAACCGAAATGGCCTACATACATGTTGTAAGAAGTTTGAGCTAATTATATTGAAGCATGAAGAAGTGACAAAAGTGGTAGATGCTAACTTTATAAACAACTGGAAATGCACTCACCGATACAAGTCACATTGAAGAGAACCAGATGATCCTGGACTTGCAACACCACCAGCAGTCTCAACCAAACTCAAAACAGTACTCCCACCATTTCCCTTACTTCCAACCCCAATTTCCAAACATCTCTTCAACAATGCCAACACATCAGAATCCTCCACATTTGCACCTTCTCTCTCAGCAGCCAAATGTGGTGAAATCGCCTCTTTCCATGCATACATTGTCTTGCATATCAACTCAGACCCCAGCTCCTCCCCAATCCCATGCTTCCTCTCTTCATAATAACCAAAATCCCCAAACCCGTTCTTACTTGTCCGACCTTCTCCACTGAAATTGTTGCCGATTTTTGGTTTCTCGGCCTGGATGGAGACGTTTAGGGTTTGGTTGGAAGCTAGGAGAGTTGATTGGGGGTTACAGCGGAGGAGAATTTGGGGAATTTTGCGGTAAACGAAGGCGGAATCGGAGTCGAGAGGGAAGCCTGTTTGGAGAGGTTTGATGTAGACTAATTTCGAAGGTGATGGTGAGGAAGAGAGGAGGGAGGAGGCGGCGAGGCCGGTGGAAACGAGGGTTTTGCCAAGACCAGTGTTGGCGGCCCATATGGTGTAGATAGGGTGTGAGAGAGTGTGTGAGATAGTTGAGAGGAAACGATGAAGAAGAGGAGGTGTTGATAGGTGGTGGTTGTGGTGGTGGCGGCGGCGGAGGAAGTGGCGGGAGTGAGTGAAGAAAAGAGGAGGATGTTGGAACATTGTGGGTGTGGTCCGGACTCCGGATTAACGGCTACGAATTTCAAAATATACATTTCTAACCTTTGATTTTATTTATCCTGCACGATTATTAAGTAGGAATGAATAACTCGTTTATAACCAAAAAAAAAACACGATAAATTCTTATTATTATCTTTTTCAAATTCAAATGTGTTATTTTCTTTTAGGGTTATCTCCAAAATACAATGACTTCTTAATTAATTGGGTTATTGTCATTTGGAGCTCAACAACTATCGGTTTTTGTTTTAAAAGATCTTGTTTTTTTTTGTACTCTAGATGCATAAACTATATGCATAAACTATAGAAATTAAGAAAATCTGTATAAAAAGTTCTTGCATTTTAACTTTATTAACAAAAAAGTCACCCCTGATTTATTTTTTGCAATTTAACCACTAGAACCGTCTATTACTTACAATTTGGCTCAATTTGTAGGTTACTGCATGCAAACAGTAGCAGACTTCGATGGTTAAATTGTATCAAATGTGACTTTTTTGTCAATAGGCCAAAATATAAGTATTTTTTTTCAATGCATAATATTTTTTAACTTCAAGTCGTATCTATTTTAAGATTAAATTATAATATATTTTTGTTAAAACAATCATTACAATTTGTTTGATTTTTAATATATGATAATAAATAAATACAATTTTTTTAATTATACTTCTATTTAATAAAATATAAAAGTCGATTAAAATGTAAAAATATGTTATTATAAAATATATCGTCAATTTTTTAATGATGAAACCAAATCAAAATTTGATACGAAATACATCCGCATACCAAATACTTGGTTGAAAAATCTTCATATGGGTTGGTGTGAAACACGAGCAAAATGAAGATGATCCGCAAATGATTTTTCTTTTTTTTTTTGTCAATTGCATAAATAGGTTTTTAGACAATTATGAAACCACTGTTGACATTGGTAACTATTATGAAAATCCAAGAGAAGAAGAAGATTGTATGATGTTCCTTATTTGAACTTTTAAAATTGTAGGTATATTGGTATCAATGAGGTATATTGTAATCTATATTCTATATAAATTAAAAATACTTATTGTTGAGTTATCGCAAAAATAGAGCTTCTATGACATGCGAACGAGACTGTTTTGCATCTTCTCTATCGATCTATGGATGAGTCAATGCATTGTTTTCAACCAAGTACTTGGTATGTAGATGTATATTTCGTATCAAACTTTGATTTAATTTCATCATCAAAAAATGACAGATACATTTCATAACAATATATTTTTACATTTTAATCGGTTTTTATATTTTATGAAGTAGAAGTATAATTTATTGATTATCATATATTAAAAATCAAACAATTTGTAATAGTTGTTTCAACAAAAATAGATTATAATTTAGAGGGGGTTTCAACCAAAAAAAAAAAAAGATTTCAATAAGTTAGTATTTCTTACTTTTTAAAACTCTTTATAACTTTTTTAGGTTGTAAAAGTTAAATGTCACTTAAAACATGTAAAGGTTGAGACAAACACTTTTTAAAAAACAACTTATTGATTTTCCCCACCACAAAAGCTAATTTAAATACTTAAAAAAATAAAAAATAATAAAAAAAAAACACTCATTTTCTCACCACCATAAATCAATAAGTCATTTTGCCTAAAAATCCTTTTGAGGTTCAAAATGAAATCTCAAACACCCTCTTAAAACACCCTCTTAATCGTAAAATATATAAGACTTGAGGTTAAACATTATTATGCAAATAGAAAAAATTGCTTATATTTTGGCCTATTGACAAAAAGTCACCCTTGATATTTTGTTTAGAATTTAACCATCGAAACATGCTATTATTTGCGGTAACTTGCAAATTGAGTCAAATTGTAAATAATAGTCAGTTTCAATGGTTAAATTGAAAAAAATAAATCATGGGTGACTTTTTGTCAATAGAGCAAAAATATAAGGACTTTTGTGCACCATTATTTAAAATATGAAGGGGTTAGTCGGCTCTCACCGCTTAGTCAGCATAACATATCTGGTCCACGTGGCACTGAGATTTCGTCCACTTGGATTTTCTTTTAAAATTATAATTTCACAAACAAAAATCAAAAATCAAAACTAAACCAAGATACATCTCAGAACATTTGTGGCTTTTAAAGAACTGCGTAACATCCGGTTTCGAGAAGCTTCCTATTTCGGGAATTATGACCATTAAATGGATCAAGTTAGGGACCTGGACTTCAAGGGTTTAGGTTTTAGACCCATTTGGTTTTGTTTACTACCTTTGTCAATTATTTATTCTTGTGTTTCGTTTTGCATGTTTTACTTCCTGAATAATTTGATTATTTGAAGCTCCACAGTCGCTCATACTTTAGGAAGTAAGTAGTGAATGCAGACTGTCATGAATTGGATTGTAGATTGTCTAAGGAGTTTAGACATAGCAATTGTGTTGCTACAATATTCATGAGTACTTAGAGAATGGAGATTTGAGTTTTGGATAAACCCACGCTCAGAGAATTACTTCATGGATTATATCACGAGTAATTATGAGACGATAATATCTTATATTCTTAAAATGGAGATATATGAGTTGTAATTTACAAATTGGTTGTACATGTGTATTGAAAAAATGCATCAGTAACTTGGTGTTATAAAACGTATTGTCATGTATGATTTGGTGAGTAAAGGATACAAGCATATGAGTCAAAGTTTATGTGTTCCTTTTGCCCTAATGGGAAAAATGATATCTTTGGGCCTCTCGGTGATTTGGTGTTGACTTCTAGTGCTGGGCCCAGTCAAGACTAAATAGATGTGTTCAATTAGAATTCTTATGACGTCGTCACAAATCAGGAAATCGGGAAATAGAATTTTGGACAATGAGATTGATTCTACTCCATGTCTCGTGTCCATACGATATCTTGTAGAACGAAGTAATATTTGATCACTTATCTTAGGACTAATGTCTAATCAGATCAGAAACGGGAGTTGCTTTTGGAAGCTCCCTTTGCTGATAATTTAGAGATTATACTGGCAATTGTAGTTATACACTTACCCAAGTGGGAGAATATTAGATTAGGTGTCTAAGCCAATAACTAAATTGGTATATACTTGAATTATTAACAAAGTCCTTTTGGGTTGCCCTCAAACCTGGTAATTGAATATGATAACTTTTAGAGAGGGAGACTGATTTATTGATTTATTATATGATTAATAAATAGAAATAAGTGATTTATTAATATTTTATGAAAATAATATATTAATTAGAAATAGCATTATTTATATTAAGAATTACTCGGAAGCTAATTAGAATTAATTTTGGGATTAATTAAATTAATTAATAGTGCAAGGACCTAAGCTGTAATTGTTGAATAGTTGAACAAAAGGGGTATCAGAGCCTTCCACATGAGGGTGGACGGTTTCAGGGTGTTTCTAGGGTTCGAGAATATCCATTGGAGATAATTAGGAAACCAGATAATTACTTGATTTAAGATATTATCACTTTAATCATGTAAGGGTTATTTAGGGTTTCTTGGTCAGCTATGAATAGGGTCCTCCACCCTCTAAATTTTGGCAACCCATAAGCTAAGAAGCCATTCGAAATTTTGTATTTCCCCTCTCATGTCTTCAAGTTTCCTAGTTGTTAGGGTTTGGGTGTAAACCATCAAAGGCACGAGATTTCTGCTGCTTGCTTCCAAGAGTTTTTTTTTTTCAAGAAGGATTGTTTGATTGTTTACTACAACAATCAAAAGGTATGTGATCTTCTATGAATTTCGAAATTAGCTAGGGTTATAGGGTTCTTGTTATTCAATATAATATTACTTCAATAGTGTTATGACTAGACTGTTTTGTCCTGAGGCCACCTCGGCGTGGCAGAAGCTTGGCCACGGCATGGCGACCGGTTGTAAGACATATGACCGTTGACTTTTGACAAAGTTGACTTTAGGGTCAACTTGAGGGTTTGAAGCCCATATATTAAGGATTTGTCTCTATTTTATGTATAGGTGGCTCGTAGTATTGGTTCTTGCCTTCGTGTGGGTTGTGTTGATATATGTTAGCTTACAAGGTGAGTTTTCTCACTATACTTTGTACTATAGTATGTATCCTTGTGTGTAGGGTGATGTTAGCTGTAGTGGTATGTATATCCTTATGCATAGGAGGTTCCATGCTATGTTAGGCAGGTAGATTTGTTATGATTACATGTATGTGACTATTATTGTATGTGTATATGTCGACATGTTGTGGTTGGGTTGAGGTGGTTCTGCTTTTTGCTATAGGCCAAGATACCCGGGGGGGTCCAAATGTATTGTAGGCCTCACGAGGCGGTCCAGTCAGACGGTAGACCCAAGGGAGCAGTTCAGCTATACTATAAGCCCCGAGGGGCGGTTCAGTTAAACTAAAGGCTCAGGAGAGCAGTCCAGGCATATTGTAGGTCTTGTGAGGCGGTCCAGGCAGACTGAAGGCTCATGTGTGCATGCATTATATGTGTATTGTTGTGTGGGGTATTTTGGGAAAGTCACTAAGCTTTGGATTACAGTCATGGATTTTAATGTTTCAGGTACTTCAAAGGATCGAGGAAGGCCAAGGCTTGATCGTATACATCATCCTATGGTTTTTTATGATTGAGAGATGTTATTTGATACTTTGATTTTATTACTATGTTTTAGAAATAATGTTTGATTGACTTATGGTTTTTATGAAAAAGACTTTGAAAATCAAAAAAATTTACTATGGTTTTTGGGACGTTACACAATGGTTTTGGAATGAAGGCTCTCAACAAGTTCAGATTGGAATGCATTCTCTACCAATACTTTATTCATCGAAATTCTTAAAAGAAAATAAAGATCTCGGATGCAGACTTTCCGACCATCAATCCTAATGACGTTCTTATGATTGCTACCCATCTCAAAGATAAATAAAGTTCTGAACTCGGCATTGAAGCTTACAACTCTGCTTTAAACTTCCTGAAGGACTACATTGCTGAATTTAGCTGATCAGATGTTGAGTTTGCCCTATTTTTCAGAACTGAGAAACTTCTTGCTCCCATCAACACAAAGCTAGAAGAAGTATCTACTTAGT